TGAGAATCCTTAGTTCTTAATTGTCAAGACAACGGTATACCCACAGCTATCTCGAAAAGAGTGAATTAAGAGGAAAATGGGTAGAATATTGGTTTGGGGTAAGGGAATAGGAGGGGAGATTGAAACATGAAAACATGGAGACACAGTTGCACAAACATTTCAATAATCATATGATGCAGGAGACAACAACTACAAGCCCAAACCCGACATCCCACACCTTCCATCCTCATCCCTGTCCTTAATATACCAAAATCATCAACCAATATGTATTTGTCTCTTCCAAAATTCCCACTTAATTTGCTCTTTGACGTTTTTCAACATATTATACATCAACTTCTTGGTCTCTTCTCTCAATTCACACTCGTTCCAATTTCTCTCTCTCTCTCTCTAGTGCTATATTTCTTATATATGCAGTTACATACGCGCGAATATATATAATTGATGAAGCTATCGCATCCATGACATGAGTGTCCATCTATCACTCTAAATTTTGTACATTACCCAATGCTAGCTCAGCCCATGCATATTCCCCAACTGATTTTTTAATCATATCTATTTAGCTCTTTCTACATCAATCGCCCACTACCTTCCAAAAGCTTACTATACCGCTACTTCCCATTTTCTATTATTAATTATTCAAACCCACTTCACTATATGGCCCCAACCAGACAAGACAACTTATATATCAACTTCTTTTTCTAATTTTCTTTATCCTGTGTCATGTCTCTCATGATTTGATGTTTCCATATATAGCTACCTCTCACCCTCAATTCTTGTTTAATTCCAAACCATCTCTACTTTCCTTCAATCCTTCTTTTCTTTTCCTTCTAATTATCATTTAATTAGGAATTAATACCAATCATTTCTAGCTTCATATCACTACTTACTCTAATTTCGCGGATATCTAATTTGTTATTTTGTAGGAGAATTCTGATTTCAAGAAACAATAGCTATCAATAAACCACCCTGAACACACCAATATTTAGAGTCAAATTTGTGTTAAGGAGAGGTAGATTGTGAATATTCAACCTTAAATCTATTCTAAATCTTTAATTTCACTTTTCAAACATTCAAGACAAAAAGTTTTTCTATTATTTTTTGCTTATTTCACATATAGATAAAGGGAAGGTTGTTTGTGGCGGCCTGTCAACTTTTAATTACTTACCTTTTTGATAATTCATTTATATTAACTTATATATATTGTATTTAGTAAATACACATGGATGTTAGTCAATTCTATTAGGGTTTTATCTTGTTTTGAGCTAAAAGAATATATTGACAAGGAAAACAAAAAGTGGAAATGGTGAAAAGAGTAGCCTTGTGACTGAAGTTTGGTTTGGTAGATAGATTCTCCACTCCACCAGTGGCTTAATGCAATAATTTGCACTTAATTAATTTCTTGATATTTTGTTCCCATAATGCAAACGAATTTATGAATCCTGACCAGCTGCCCTGCCCTGCGCTGATTTATCTAAGTGGTCAACCCCTTCTCTTGTTGACACTACAGCAGACATATGTATCATTACGCACATCCACCCATTTCTAATATCA